AAGTATATATTAATGAAAGATAATGTATATTTATTAATATATACTATATATATATACATATATACATATATATATATATATATATATATATATTAACTTGAGATTAATGTGTGTGTATGCACCAACACTGTACGCACAGAAACAAACCTATATAGATGATTGTATATATGCATACAAAATATTTCTTTCTCGCCAGATATATATATATATATTTGGAGAGAATATATTTGTGTGTGTGTGTGTTCCAGCCTATATGCAATGAATACATGTGTCTATATATTTACAAATATTTGTGTGTGTGTGTATATATATATATATATATATATATATATATATATATATATATATATATATCCTCCGCAGGTTTTGAATTCAGAGTTGTCCTTCTCCTAGACCAGTTGCCATCCATGGCTATAAAACCCAGTCTGTCTTTCTATTTACCCGTAGCTGGAGGGAGAAGAAGAGGATTCACACCTTTCACGTAAGTGAATGTAATGGATTCGACTGGAATTCGAACTCGGCTCCCCGATTCCTCAATCCAAGCCGCTATCCATTACTCCACCGTGCACCAGGTCTCTGTATTCGGCCCTTCCAAAAGTGGGGATGGTCCTGCACTAAACCTTCACCACTATAATCAAATTTCATGTGCTGTTATCGGGCTGTCGGTTTCCTAGGAACTGATATGTTTGACCCTCATACGTCGAATTCGACGGGCGAGTCGACTATATATATATATATATATATATAGATAGATAGATAGATAGATAGATAGATAGAGAGAGAGAGAGAGTCAAAAAGGAGAAGGAGAGACAGAGAGAACGTTTGGGTTGATTGTACGTTCATATATATATAGTGGCTTTCTTGATGAAAAAAGGTATGCAGGTTCGATTCCCGTCGGGGCAAAGTTTTTCTTTCTTAGGGATTCTTAAAATAAGTCGGTTGATATTAATTTCACTGTTTAATAAAATAAAACAAACACGTGTCCACAATAATTAAAACGTTTATAGCAATAATATATATATATATATATACAAATACAGGGTTGGTACAGGTGGAATAAAATTCCCATAACCAAAAACACATTTTTTTAAAAGAGGGCTCAATACAGAATAGAGCAAATAATATTTTTCTCAAATAATAGCCATTTTGTTTCAACATGTTTTGAAACAAAATGGCAAATTTTGTAGTGATGTTATAACATGCATATTTTATAATTTTTGACTAATATTTATATATATATATATATATATATATATATATATATATATATATATATACGCAGATAAAAGGATAAACATTATAATTAAATTAACTTTTAATTAATACGTGTCAATGACCCAGTACTTATAACCTTAAGCCATACACAACCTGCTCCCCCCTCTCTCGCTCTTTATATCCCTCTCCCTCATTCTCACTCACTTTCTCTTTTTCTGTCACACACAAACACACACACATACACGCACACACATACATACACACACACTTTATGCAAATTTTTCAGGAGCACTCTTCTCATTTGTCCTGAACAGAGAGACAGTGAGAGTGAGAGAGAGAAAGAAAGAGAGAACGAGATGAGAGAAAAGGGAGTAGCCTGTGGTAAAGAGAGGAGACAAATTACGGAGAGGAAGAGAAATGGGGATTAGAGAGAGAAGGAGAAATAAAAAAAAAAACTAGAAAAAGGAGAGACAGGTGTAGAAAATACAGACTGACAGATTAAAAAAAGGGGTAGGTAGAAGTAGAGAAGAAAGAGCAGTATAGATTGAACTTCGTTAAAGGAAATGCGATAGAATAGATTGATCAGCCATTTTTTACTGTTTATCAACCCTTTGTTGGTTATTTAAAGCCGACACAAATGTAGAAGGTTGCTTACAGTACCTGATGTTCTAAGCGGTCCCGCATCTAACTACTGACCTGTCTCGACGTTGCTTAACTTCGGTGAACGAACGAAAAACGGTCTTTTCAGTGGGATTTGTCCGAATACGCGATAGATTAGGGGTGGAAAAAGAAGAGTAGACGATAGAGAATTGACTGTTTTTTTTTACGGCTTATCAACCTGTCACAGCAACATAAGACGTTCCCTTATAAAGAAAGAGAGTTACGCTTTTCTTCAATTCTAAGCCATCGAGTTCGCCTCAGTTCTAATTGAGAATTGATTGATTGATTCGGTTTTTTTTTACGGTTATCAACCCGTTGCATGCCATTCAAAACCAGAAAGAATTTTACATTGTAAGAATTTATTATTCGTTTTTTACGGTTTATCAACCCGTTGGATGTCATTCAAAACCAGAAAGTATTTTACATTGTAAAGATTTTTTATTCGTTTTTTACGGTTTATCAACCCGTTGCATGTCATTCAAAACCAGGAAGTATTTTACATTGTTAGAATTTTTTTTATTCATTTTTTACGGTTTATCGAACCTTTGCAGGTTATTGAAAACCAGGAAGTATTTTACATTGTAAGAATTTTTTATTCTTTTTTTACGATTTATCAACCTTTTGTAGGTTATTTAAAGTCAGAAAATATTTTATATTCGAAGGTTTTTTTTTAAGATAAAAATGATTTACTGATTTGACATTTAGGTTTTTAATTCTCAATACACAATAGACATTAAATTGAATATATTTTAACAGCTTGCAATCTTTATTATAATGATCCATTTATGGGTTGGCTTGTAATTATTAAGCATTTTTTTTAAATGTTCTTCAGGAATTCATTTCCCGCTCAGTTTGAAACTAAATAATAATGTGGAGTCAGTATTCACTCTTTTACTTGAATCAGGAATTCATTTGCCGCTCAGTTTGAAACTTAATAATTGTATGGAGTCAGTGTTCGCACTCACCTTGTTAATATTGATCTAATTTTTGTATGTTTTTGACAAAAGCTTAAAAGAAAATTCCATCAATATTGTAAAAAAAAATTAAAATATTGTGATTACTGTATAAAACTGTGGTTCTCAGCCTGTTTTTTACACATGGATCCCCACCTTTTTTTTCTTGGTAGACCCCTTAATAGCTATTTGACATAAGACAACAATATTCTATTTTTCACTAATAAAAATTTTGAGGTTTTAATAATCAAAGAAACATTATATAATTAAGGTTTATTTTTAAATAAAAACTAATTCAATACAAATAAATTATTCTATAATAATAATAATAATAATAATAATAATAATAAAGAAGAAGAAGAAGAAGAAGAAAGAATCGAAAATCTCAAAAATGTGGCACATGGGAACACCAACAATCCCTGTTGTAGTTGGAGCCCTAGGACGGGTTGGAAAAGATTCCAGTAGAATAATTGAAGGGATTCCTGGAAGCCCATACCTCAAAGAAATACAAAACATTGTTCTCACAAGTACAGCCCACACTTTACGAAGGTGTTTTATCTATGTAAATTTTATTTTTTTGTTAGTGGAAAGTGTCATGATGCCATTTCTAACCTGAGGTCTCTGGGCGGGACCCGGAAAGAAATCTGTAAACGCCAGAAATCAAAGGAAATAATAATAATATAAGTAATACAATATTACAATGTTTTTTCCATGCTCAAGGCCATGGGGAGCAGGGCTCTTCAGGTGATTCACTGCAGCATTTAATTATGCACACTGGTTAAAAATTTTAATAAACCAATTTAAGTTAAGTGTCTGATTAGAAAAAAAAAAGGAAGGCATATTTATTCAATGAATAAAACGTTCTACGCTCCGGCCTTCTTCAGGTGGTTGGAATGTTGAACTGAACCCTTTATTTCGTTCACGGGGTAGACTGTTCTAGTTCCACGTGCCATGTTTAATGGATGTCAGTTATCAGTAATCTCCAGGTTAATTCCCCTCTGAAATCGGGTATTGAACTCACACTCTTTGGGCCCTGTCACTGGATCTAACCAATGCCTTTATCCACTGTGTCATGTGTCCTTGAGGACATCTGTGTATGGATTTCTGGGTATTATAAACCTAATGTTATCAGCAACCGTTTTTTTTACCAGAGCTCTTATTGCAATTTTGTTGTTTTTATCGCTTTTCTCTGGCACTTCTTATTACTGGTTCCCAGATTGTATTCATTTCTAAAAAAAAAAAAAACGAATCAATCAATCAATTTGTAGCCTAGCATATGTACTGATTTCTTTAGTTTGCGAATGCTAGGCTACAAAAATTTCCTGAGCCGACCAAACATAGAAATGAATACAATATGGAAACCAGTAATAAGGAGTGCCAGAGAAAAGCAATTATAACAACAAAATTGTAATATGATCTCTGGTAAAAACATGTGATGATAACAGCAAAGAATTGTAATATGAGCACTGGTAAAAAATGGTTGCTGATGACGTTAGGTTTGTAATACCCATAAATTCATACACAAATGTATGGATACACGGCACAGTGGATAAAGTCGTTAGTTAGATCCAGTGACAGGACTCAAAGAGTGTGAGTTCAATACCCGGTTAAGGCAGTGGAGAACTTGCAGAGGGGAATTAACAGGAGATAACTGACATCCATTAGACATGGCACGTGGAACTAGAACAGTCTACCCCAGTGAGCGAAATAAAGGGCTCAGTTCGAAATTCCGAACGTTGTAATAAATATGGCGACAAAGATGAGGACAATAATCCGAATAATGTATATAGTGTACATCTCAGAAATATAGACAGATATCTACTAGAAGATAAACACGGCCCCGATCGGTTAGTAAGTTCGTTAGTACAGTGACCTCAATCCGTACAGGGTACTTAACGCAAATATGTAAATAATTAATAGAGAAATTGAATCATTTTCTACGGTTTATCAACCCTTTGCAGGTTATTTAAAGACAGAAATATATTTTTAGATTGTAAGAATTTTGGGGATGCATAATAGTTGTTTAGTGTTACAATTCTTACCATTTAACCCATACCTGGGGGAGAATAGGACGATTCATTCCTCCCCGAAAAGAATTTGCGCTTAAGTGAATATAACGAAACCAAAGGGAATTTGATCTCCAATTTCCATTTCTGGGCAATTATCCAAGCTTATAGCACCTGGTATTCCCAAGCGATCACGCATCTAGGTATTGACCAGGCTCGACGTTGCTTAACTTCGGTGATCGTACCAGAACGGGAGTTTCAGTGTGTTTTCGTCGTAAGCCTCAGCTATCTCTGCAAAAAGTCAGGGGTCAATTTTGCACTGTGGAAGAGGACCTCGCCTCTCAATCGAAAAAAAAAAAATCAGTATTTTTCGATGTTGACAAATGTCGCTGCTTGTGTAAGAAAGGATCTTCTATTAAAATGATTCCCCACCCACAAAATGTTTCCTATATCTTTTTTCTAAGCGGACCTGTCTACTTAAGTTGTTTCGAAGTTTGTTTTTTGTTGTTTTTTTTTTGTTTTTTAATAACGAGACGTCATCTCTAGATAGATCGCAAGCCAAAACTAAAGAGATTCTCTTAGGTGAGGACTTGTAACTTTGTGCTATCAAAAATTCATTATTTCTTTCTTTTTTTTTTCCTTTAATTATTCACAGAGATATTAGCAAGTTTCAGTCTTTTTCATTGCTTTCCGTATCAAAGACAGACGACATAAGAGCTTCATCTATCTTATCAGCTTAGAAGATGTCTTCTTCATCTTCGATATTTCTGTTGTCCACAGAGCCATATTCTCCTTCTTCGTCAAATAGGAACGTGTAGTAATGTCTACTTCTGTTTTACGCTGCCAGAATGAAAAGGCCATTGGAAGGTGGGTTTGTTTATAATTTGAATTCTACTGCCAGCTTATTTTCGTTGAATTTTGTGTTTGTCTTAGATTTTTACGATCTGTCAACCCTTAATTTATTAAATCTGATATTGGAATGTCGTACAGGACATAGTAAGGAATCGAAATCATTATTTAATGTCTAACTAGACTTGTAAACTTTATTTTAAACTAAATAAATCCTTTTTTTTAGTCGGTGATGTATTGAACAGATGTTAAGCAGATGTTGAGCAGATGTTCAACAGATGTTGACTTTAAGCGAAATCAACAAATTCTAAAAGTTCATTTCACATTGTATTCGAGATATTTTTTTTTTTTTAGAATTCCAAGAATTAGGGGTGAACATTATACACGAGAGCCTAATTTACTGAAATATTTACGGTAAATTACATAAATAAGGGATTAAACTAAACGTCTCATTTGGTAGTATTTTAGCTGTTCAAACCCACTGTAAAATCTGGCAGTAGAATAAATATCCAGTAATAATTATAAAATTAAGATGAATTTAATATTAATTAGAAAAAATAAAAAAAAAAACATTACTAATTATAAAATTAAATTAATTTTGGTATTAATTACAAAAAATAAATATAAAAATATTGTATTAATTGTGAAATAATATAAATTTTAGTATAAATTGAAAAAATTCAGTATTAATTATACAATTAAAATAAATTTGGTTATTAATTGAAAAAAATAAAATTAAAATTCTTGTATTAATTGGTGCAGTTAAAATAAATTCCGTTATTAATTGGAAAAAAATAAAATTAAAATTCCTGTATTAATTGGTGAAATTAAAATAAATTTCGATATTAATTGGAAAAAATAAAATTAAAATTCCTGTATTAATTGGTGAAATTAAAATAAATTTCGATATTAATTGGAAAAATAAAATTAAAATTCCTGTATTAATTGGTGAAATTAAAATAAATTCCGTTATTAATTGGAAAAAATAAAATTAAAATTCCTATATTAATTGGTGACATTAAAATAAATTTCGATATTAATTGGAAAAATAAAATTAAAATTCTTATATTAACTGGTGAAATTAAGATAAATTTCGATATTAATTATAAAAATTAAATTAAAAATCCAAAATTTAGTATGTTTCTAAAAACATGCAGCACTCATAGATTTCTAAAAATCTAGTATGTGACGTTGTTTGTTTTTTTCACTGTTAGTTCACCCAATGCAAGGCCCAAGGGTCACTCAAGCTAGAGGGTTACTGGGTGAAATTGTTTTAAGGGAGTGTGGAATAAGAGAATATTGGGAAAACGATTAGGATAAATATTCTTTGAACCTGAACTTAAAAAGTGACCAAGATTCTTGTTGCCAGGGAGTTTGTTCCACAGTTTTGAGGAAGACGCTGTCCGAGTGGAACTTACTTTTTTTGTCACTGTGAACACAATAGGGTGTGTCCCAGCTGTGAACGCCCGAGCTGATGTTACTAAGGAATGTGACTCGTCCAAACAGCTGTCATAGCAATAGCGATAGAGTTGTGAGAGGCTGACTTTGTTGCGTCTGTGACATAAAGGTTCAGGGTGGAGAATAATTCATGTCCTTCAAGGCCGCCTTAACGCTTGTGGATTGATGCTGGACAATGAGGATTCGGCAGTACCAACCCAGATATGGCACTCATATAGTAGCAAATCACCCACATTCCCTCCTTATACCATTCTAACAACTTCTACCCGAGAATCACTTCTCTGTAGAACTAACTCCCAAGAGGGTGTTTCCCCGATCACTACAATATTAATCGTCTACCCTTCAAGGCTAGGACCCAACATGACACTCACATAGTAGCAAATCACCCACATTCCCTCCGTATTCCATCTGGGAGAAGTAAGTTTCATTCTAACAGCTTCTTCTCGAGAATCATTGCTCTGTTGAACCGACTTCCACGAGAATGTTTCCCCGATAAATACATCCACGTCGTGGGTAAAACGATAAACTACATCTGACAGAAAAGCCTCTGATCAGGAGGTTTTGAGGAGTGTGGAACCACCTCTTAATTTCTGGTGTTCCCAACTGTTAGGGACGCAACTATGGGAAAATAGTTATCACCAAACGGAAAGTGTAAAAATAGGTTTTAATACCAACAATGATTTTTTTGAAGATAAATGATTACTAATAATACATTATTACCAATAATACATTTTTAAAGAAAAAATATTACCAGCATTACATTTTCGGAAAAAATAATTACCAACAATATGTTTTTGAAAAAAAAATATATTACAAGCAATAAAAATCTTATCAGCATTAAATAACCGATTGAGGTTGATATCCCGTAAATCAACTCAACTCAACTGTACATAACAATGATTAAAATGTATTCGAGCGAATAGAAGATGTAGGCTTTAGCTTGGACTATCATTCCTCGAACCGCGTGGACTGGCTGTTACAGAATGCGAAAGCCAGTCCTAGAATGGTCAGCGATTGGTCGGAGTGCCTCGTAGGCGGGTCATTCTGACAGTGATCAGTTGTCTTTTTCTGGGTTTTGGATATAAATCCAAAACGGCCCGAATTCAAGAGAGGGTCTCAAGAATTCTGTAGCGTCGATATGCCTCCCACCCTCAGGTTTGCGACCGGCCAAGACCACTCGCGGGGTGGCGTTAACCGACGTGCGACATGTGTTTTGTGAACATTCCTTTCTACTGCCTCATAGAGACCAAGATACCTCTATTAATAAAACGAATACCAAAAGTAAATGAAGAGTTTTACTGATATAGTTTTATGTAGTACCGTGGAGAACCCGAGACGACCCAAGACGCAACACTGGCGCTACAGAATCAGTGGCAAATAACTGGAGCAAATAAACAGAGGACATTGAAAAACAGCAACATCTAAGATGGATAGTACATCTAACTTGAACAGAGAACTATGACATAATCAAGATGTTGATTTTCCACACTACTACGAAATAAAAGTTAGGAAGGAAAGCGCTCACCAATTACTCGAAGTGAGAAATATATTTTACTGAAAATATTTTTTTTATTGAAAGAATTTTATATTTCAGCCCAAAGGAATACTGGAATGAATGCCTAAAATTCTTATACAATGAAGCGGTTAATATTACTATTACCATCAGAGATGAAGAGAACAGATACTACAATATGATCCTAGCCGGATGACCATGGAGTGAAGAAAAACAAAACTCTAGTAACACTGGCTTTGCCAGTGAATGCCTAATGTTTCCATACTATGCTAATATTACTATTACTATTAGAGATGAGGAGAACAGATACTATACTTTGATCCCAGCCTGATGGCCATGAAGGGAAGAAAAGTGTAAGGATATTTGCCAACCGCCCCATGCGGTCAGATATGACACAAGGCCGAATTTAACGTGAGGTATCCGAGCTCGTAGGCTCGGGCAAAAATTCCTCGTAGACCCCGTAAAAACGGGATCGGGTAGCTGTCTACCACCCCGGACGAGACTGCCCTTCGGCAGATCCTCGTCTGGGTTTTTCTCCGCCCGAAGACAGAGAGTTCGACTAGCTTAGATGGAGACGAATCGCTAAATAATTGCCGACGAAAAGTGTAAGGCAAGTAGCATTGGCTGTTCGGGTAATCAATGTCTAATGTTTCTATACAAAGAAGCGGTTAATATTACTATTAATATTAGAGATGAGAACAGATACTATACTTTGATCCGTGCCAGATGGCTATGGATGGCAGAAAACTATAACTCGAATAACACTGGCTGCTCGGACAATGAATGCGTAAAATTTCCATACAATGAAATGGCTAATATTACGATTAACATTAGAGATAAAGAGAACAGATACAACATTTTGATCCCTGCCCGATGGCCATGAAGTGAAGAAAAGCGTAAGTCAAGTAACACTGGCTGCTCGGTCAATTAATGCCGAATGTTTCCATATAGGAAAACGGCTAATATTACTATTATCGTTAGAGATGAGAACAGATACTACATTTTGATCCCAGGCCGATATTCAGGGAATGAAGAAAACCTGGCCCGAGTAGCATTGTCTGCTCGGCCAATGAATGTCGAATGTTTCCTTCATAAGGAAACGGTTAATATTACAAATTAAAATTAGACATGATGAGACCAGATATTACACTTTGATCCCATCACGATGACCAATGAATGAAGAAAATCGTAATTTGAGTGGAACTGGCTGCTGGGTCAATGAATGCCGAATGTTTCCTTATGAGGAAACGGCTAATATTACCATTATTATTAGAGATGATGAGAACAGATACTACACTTTGATCTCATCACGATGACCCATGAGTGAAGAAAATCGTAATTTGAGAGAAACTGACTTCTGGGCTAATGAATGCCGAATGTTTCCTTACATGGAAACGGCTAATATTACCATTATAATTAGAGATGATGAGAACAGATACTACAC